TGACTGAGCCTTTGGTGTCAGCATCTCAGGCTGCTTGCTGTGGTCCTGAGGGTCAGAAGCATCTCTTCTTGTTCTGCACAGTCCCTGAGGTGCCAAGAGTGTCCAGGACCTATGGCTTTGGGATGACCCTAAGCCATGGGGCCAGGCTGGGAGCCACAGCTGTCCTGCTGCTGTGCCCTGGTGCAGGTGGATCAAACCAGCTCCGTGAGGTTACCCCGGCAAAGGGCAGATAGAACAGGAGCAGGAGGAAGAGCCTCCTTGGCAACAGCTGAAGGTGCTTTAGGCTCCCTCACAAGCCAGGAACATCTTTATTGGATAGCTGTGGGGCTGGGGCTTTCTGCTCCCGAGGCCCCTCGCCCTTCTCCGTGCTGGGAGCAGGAGACCCCGGCACCGCAGCTCCGAGGAGGCGGCGAGGGACGGGCCCCGTGCGGCTCCGTGCGGGCACGGCGCGCTGTGCCTGCTCGCCGCCTCTCCTCTCGGCCGGTTCTGTGGGCTGGCAGCCGGGGCCGTGGAGGCAGCGGCGCAGGCGGGACGGAACCGGGCGCTCGGAACCGCCCTCAGCTGCTGCCGGTGACTGAGCCCTGTCCTTCTCTCTCCTCCTCTCCACCACATGGGCCGGTCCGGCAAACTCTCCCCGGCCCTTGGTGTGCCGGCACTCGGGGTGCAGCCAGCGCCGGAGCGCTCCCGGAGCCCAGCGGGATGTGCCGGTACCGGAGCCGCTGCCGCTGCCGGTGCCGGCCGCCCCCGAGCTCCTGCTCGCCCGCTGCCGCCCAGCCGGGGACGGCCCCGAACGAGCCAGGGAAGGCTTTGGGAGCCTGCAGCTGGGGCTGGCAAGGGGACACGAGCAACATGCGTTACAAGCCCTGGAACTTAAATATTTTGCTGCTATAAATGTTAGCAACGAGAGCTCTCGTTACATTTAAATGCCAGATGACAGAAGCAGAGGCCAAAAAAAGCTCCTTCCCAGCCAAGCAGAAGGAGAGGGGGCGAGCGCGCCGCCGGGGCCGGCGGGACACAGGGCTGGCGCTGGGAACACCCGCTGTGGGCAGGAGAGGGCACGGGGCAGCCTGGCTGCCGTGCCCCCATGGAAAAGGGGCTGCTGGTGCAGTGCTCAGTGATGGGCATGCACCGGGCAGGGCAGCCAGAGGGGCACCGAGCACCCAAGGGAGTCACCGGGCCCGAGGTCCGCGGGAGCCGCCGCGGTGGCGCAGGGCACAGCCCCTCCGATCCCGCGTCGGGCGTGTGACATGGAAATGGGCTTGCCGGCGCTTCCACCCTGATCCCCCGCGCCCGGGGACTCCGGGGTGAGAGCTCCCATGGGCAGAGCCTTGGCCTGCAAAACCTCCCCCCTCAGCTGAGGAATAGTTTTCATCGTTTATGTTTCAGCGTAATTTCAATAAATTCCAGTTGGCTGTTCCTGAATAACACCCAGAGCAGAAATGAACTGTGCAGCCTTGTGAAGTGAATCTTTGCAATTAGAGAACTCGAGCACTTTTTGGTGGGTGTTTTGCTGAAAACAAAGAACTGCATGTGATGGGCTTGGAAAGCACAGGACTAATTACCAGTGCTATTTTAAAAAATGGCATGAAAATGAGTTATGCTGCTAATGCTCAGATGCAAGAACATGGTCTGCTTAATTTAATAATACTGTGTAATTTGTGTAAAACCAAATTGGTAGCAATTATACATTATTGTTAATTACTTGGAGCTGGGTTCTCCTCGCTGTGCTGAATTGCACCTGGCTCCCCAATGCCCCCAAGTCCATGGGGTTTGTGATGTAAAAACACACACGAGGTAAGGACCTGAGAAAGGAGAACTGTGGAAGGTGTTTGGGCTGAGGCCCTCTCTGAAGCTGTTGGGACAGCAGGCATGTCCCGGTGCTGCCCTCACACCCCGTGGAGCTCCTGGGACAGGCCTCTCCGGCTGCTCCGGCAGCCCCGGCGCGGCTCCGTCTGTGACTCACACGCCTGACTCACAGACGCCTGATGAAATACATGCACTCCCAGTCACATTCATCACAGCTAAATATTAGAACAAGCTCTTTAATTTCAAACCCGAGTGCTTCCTGGGGTTTTCTCAGCAGCTGTGCTCGGGCCAGTTGCTGCGCTGGGAGGGGCGGTGATGCAACCTCTCTACGCTGCAACTGCCAGGTTTGCTTGTTTGCATGCATACATACAGATATATATTTAGAAATTTCCTCAAGGCAGAAGAAAGCAATTCATGACGAGCAGCAGCTTGGAAGGTCACCTGGATTATTATTTCTGTACCACAGCTCACCTCAAGCATACAAGCAAAGTCTTTATGTGCTGATGTTAATAATGCTATAGAGTTAAAAACCTCAGCAGCTCTGAAGGCAATTATCAGACTGGCTTTGTCATGCACAGCCTCATTTTGTGTGCTGCAACTAAATTGTATTTTACTGCGTATTTTAGAAGGAATAACAGTGTTTGTTAGAGGTGTTTTTTTGCCGTTGGGCTCAGTCTGTCCCCAGGTGTGGTGCTGCTGGCTGCGCCGGACCCCAGCCCTGCCTCTGTTGGTCTGGGGCAGTGCTCACTGCTCAGCAGAGCTGAAAAGGCAGCCCAGAGCGAGATGGTTTACCAAAAGAGGGGCCTGGACTGGAGTCCAGCAGCCCCCTCTTTGAAACATTTCCTCCATGGCATCTTTCAGCTGCGTGAGCTGTTTCTGCACTCCCAGAGCATTGCAAAGTGGTCTGATTTGAAATCCCAGCTGCTCCAGAGAGAGGCAGAATTTATGAAGAACCACGGCAGTTCAAGTTACCATGGAAATTGTTTCAAAACAAAGAAGCCTGATTTTGCTATACTTGCTGTCTTGGGAGGGTTTTCTGTGTGGAAGGATGACAGGGTGAACCTGCCCCACAGCTCAAGGTGTGCTCTGTGTGCGCTGTGTTCTGGGGCCCACAGACTTCTGAAGACCATGGTATTTGCATAACATTAATGTGTCTATTCTGGTGTCTGTGGGTGGCAATTTGTGCCCACAGTGCTCCTTTCACATGAACATGCCATTATTACACCCAATTAATGCAAACACTGTCCAGGAAGAAGTTCCAGACTGTTCCCCAGCACGGAAAAACCCACACGAGGTTCTCCTGCTGGGAACTGGAAGACCTCAAGTTTAGCCACACTCTGCTCCTTGCAAAGCTGTGCAAAGTCAGCTGTGTATGAATACCCCCATCAGATCCGCTCCCCCTTTCCTTGGAGGACTGAAAAATCCCTGACAAGCCAGAGCTTTACCTGAGGCACAGCCCTGTGATCCTCCCCACATCTCAGAACTGGCACTTCTGACTCTGAGATGGCACTGCCAGCCACTAACCCAAACACTTTGTCATTATATCCCTCTCAGACTGCAGCCCTGGTTTTCTCTCCAAATAACATTATTACAGATAAAATTCTACTTACAGCTGGATTTTCCTATCAACACACTACAAAAAAGATAATTGAAAAAACCCTGCAGTGTTTGTAAAGCAAATTTATTTGTAAGGATGCTTATGATGATAAATAAGAAGTGGCATTCAAAAGAACAGAAAAATAGCCCTGTTTATAGATGATGCTGAGATTACTTCAGTAACTTAATTATTCCCTCTGCTTCACTATTAATTAGAAGTCAGTGGCATGTAAACTGTACGTGATCCAGCTACAGGAGGCTGTGGGCAGGAGCTGCCTAATTCCAGTTCCCAGCACTGGTTCCCCTTGTGGCTGTGAATGAGCACTTAGCAACAGCTGTCCCTTGGTGAGCCATGCGTGGGTTACTCAATGACAGGTTCCAAAATTCATATTCTTCTACCAGATGTAAAGCAGAAACTTTTCCATGCAAAGTGCTCCTAACCCATGCGGCTCCTCGTGTCTCCTGGGAGCCCCGCAGGCCTTAGTGAGGGGTGGCTCTCAGCCCAGCAGCGTCACCCTTTCCTGGGAGCTCGGATAACCACACGGGCTACCACTGTCAAAAGTGCTCCAGGCTGCAAATAAGCAGGTGGGTGTTCAGAGTGTTGGCTGCCAACACCACCTGTGGGGCCTCAAGGGAAACTTGGCACTTCTGGAAATGTAGCCGTTTGGTTAAATTTTGAAAAGCTGTATTAGATACCCAATCTTTAGTCTTCTCCTTTGGAAAATGGTCCTCGTTAGAGCTGTATTTTCTCCCGAGGAACACCTACACTTGAGCTACTTGAATGTCACATTCAGCTACTTGGCAGTACACTGTGGAAAATCACTGGCCTTGTGCTGCTGAGCCAAATGTAGACCTATTTGTATTTTTAAGGGAATTAGTATTCTTTTCTCTGTTTAAAACATTCCTATTACTCATAGTGAGTCAAATCCTGGCCCCGTTTGGAGGGCTGTGCATAAATGGGCTGTATGCACAAAGGAGCTTCATTGGGAGCACTTTCCAAACCCTCTGTCCACCTGCCTTTTCCCGAGGGAGTGAGCATTCGCCTCCTGCCCTGGCACCGCCGCTGTGATTGCCCCCGCGCTGTCCCAGCCTGACTGTGCCACGTCTCCAGGGCTCCTGTCCTGCCCCTCTGAGCTCCTCGCCTCCTGTCTTGCAGATGCTCATTCTGCTGCTTGGGAAGCGCCGCCTGTGTGGGGGAAAAGCACAGCCATGTCCCCTGTGACACGGGAGCAGAATCACACTGAGTCAGGTTGGAAAAGACCTCTGAGATCACTGAGTCCGACCTGTGCCCAATGCCCACCTTGTCACTCTGACCACCGTCCCGGGATGCTTCTGTGCCTCGTTCCGCTGCTCGGGACCGGCTTTCCGTTACCCCGAGCCGAAATCCGAAACGGAACCGGAACCCGAGCCCAAACCTGACCCCAGCCAGAGCCCGCGCCCGCCGTGTCCCCGCGGCGCCGGCAGGGGGCGCTGGGCGGGGCGGCGGGCGGAAGTGACGCTGGGCCATTGCCGGTGCGGGCGCTGCCCCGCCCGCGCTCCTTTGTCAGCGGAGCCGCCGCCGCCCGCGGCCGCCCCCGGCCCCGCCGGCCCGAGCGGGGCAGCGCCGCAGCACGGCCCGCGCCGCCAGCTCCCTACGGCTCCGTCCCGCCCCGTCGCGCCGGCCCAACGGGTGAGTCCGTGCTGCCGGAGCCGGTCGGTTCCGCCGCCGGGAGGGTTGGCGGGGGCGGCGCCGCGGGGTCCCGGTCCGGGCGGGGGGCGCACAAAGGCCCCGGGGCGCCGCGGCCGCGCTCGGGGGGCGCAGCATGGCCGCGGTGCCGCGCGGCGGGCAGCGCTGCGGCTCCCCTTCTCCCTGCTCTCATTACCGTGCGGTGTTTTGGCCGGGCACAGCTAATTTCCCTGGCCGAGGCCGCCGTGCGGCTGCGGGAGCTCCCCGGGTGGGCGGCGCGGAGCGCGGCGAGCTCCCCGTGGGTGTGCTGCCGCTGCCCGCGGCGGTGCGCTGGAAGCCCGAGCTCTGATGGGCATAGCAGAGGTACGGGCCAAAGTCCCTGGTGCCGGTCATAATGGCTAAAGGGGCTGCTGCCGCGGCCAGAGCCGCCGCAGCGGGTCCTGAGCCCGGAACTGCCCTGGGCTCCGGGTACACGAGGGGCTCGCTGCTGCCGGGACTCTGCCCGCACGGGAGCACGGCCCGGGGCACACAGCAGCTCTCAGCCCGCCCTGGGCTCCGAGGACACGAGGGGCTCGCTGCTGCCGGGACTCTGCCCGCACGGGAGCACGGCCCGGGGCACACAGCCGCTCTCAGCCCGCTCAGTGTGCGTGCTGACCTGGCGGCTCTGAACCCGCATGCTGCTCTGTGAAACCTGGGCCGTGAAGCTAGGAGGGGAGGCTGCCCAGGCAGTCCTTCCCACTCTGTCTATTGAAAGCGTTAAAAGAACTTCAGTTTCTCGCAGTACTTTTACATGAATTGAAATGAAGCCACTTTGTTTTCCAGTGATTGAGAGAGCAGCTCAGCTTCGTCAGGTTCCCCAAGAGCTGGGGTTCATGTAGGTGTGCTGGAGGCACCAGTGCCTCAGGATGGGGTTACTGATGGGCACTTCCAGGTTCTGGACTGAGCTGCGGAACTGGCACGTTTGTACAAAACCGTGTTTTACAACCATGCATTGAGTTCTCAGAAGAGAACAGGTTCTTTTTCCAAATCTCGTATGTTTTTATGGTCTGCATTGAAGCCCAGCTTCTCCTTGAAGAAGACTCCTGTGGCTATAGCAGTTAGCTGTGGGCAATGACAAGTCTATTTTTAAACTTTCACTTTTCTTTTGTTTCCTGTAATACGATCTTTGCTGTGATCCTTATACTCATCTTCAGAGGGACGGTGGCGACCTGGAATGCAGCAGGCACTTTGCAAATACTCTCGGAGCCCTGTCCTTGAAGGGCTGGAGCTGTTTGAAGAGTGCTGGGGTGCCTTGCAATTGAAATGGGAAAGCTGGAGTCCTGGCTGTGGAGAGCTCTCAAGTGCACGGCTGGGCCCTTTGATGGCCGAAACCCTTTTTTTTTGGAGGAGGAGGTGTTAGAGATCTGTTTTAAGGGAACAAAAAGTTCCTGTATGCCCTGTGCTCTCCCCAGGAGGTGTTAAGTGTGTGCAGTGGTTTCAGAGGTTTGCCTTCCCTCGGGATTTGTTTGCTGGGATAAGACCTGCATTCCTCTGTTTCAGGGGCCATGTGTGCTCCTTGCCCAGTGGCACAGGACTTGGGAGTGGTTCCTGACTGGAACCCTTTGCCTCTTTGTCTCCTCACACTGAGTGAGAGGTGTGTTTTGTTCTGTCTTTGTTTTGGGACAAACCTTTAGTTCACACCTCAGCCTCCTCAGTTTGTAAATAATCAGCTCTTACAGGCCTAAATCATGGTTAGGATGGAATTATATCAGGTCGAGCTGTTATTTAAACAAAACAACTTGAGGGGAGAAAAAGCCCCTTTGTATGTTTTTGCCTTTAAGTCTTATAATGTGTTTCAAAGTTTCAAGCTGGGGAAGGGAAATCCTGCTGACCTGGTGCTGATATTCACTGCCCAGGAACCATTGTTAACTGTTTTTTTATTATTTATTAGGAAACAAATTTAGAAAATTATTTATTAGTTGCAGACCTGTCAAGTTTGTTGCCTCGTGTTTATATTCTGTAGAGAATAGGATGGCTGTGTTAGTTACTGACAAAATTGGTGAAAACCCGGATAGTGTGTGCAGAGGTTCAGCCTTGCCCTCCATGGGCACCACTCAGAAAGTGATTTTGGGCATATTGTGTTCCTGGAGCTTGCAATTCAACATGCTTTGAGATGTGACAATTTTACTGTATGCCTCAGTGGCTGAGTATTTGATATTCTGGTGGTTGTTCACGCTCTCCTCTTAGCACGTATGAAGTTGGTTGCATTCTTTCTGCTGCGGTGACCTGCTGGAGATCACCTCTATCACCGAGTAGAACGATCCTTTTGCAGGAGAATGCTGGTGTGTGGAGGAGCTGAGGGGAAAGGGGAGGGCTAAATATAGCCATTTCCTGCAGAACTTATCTGCTTTGAGGCTGGCCTTCCAAATGGAACTGGAGTCTTCCAAGCCCTCGGTGAGGGTAGGAAGAGAACATGGGCGGGGGAAAGAACACCCGTGGGGTGTTGTGAGTGGGTTGTGTTTGTGGTTTTTGTTTTTTCCAGCCAGCTGGTACTCTGAAGTCATGCTTAAATTTAATGAAAGCCCGATGCTAAAATAGGATCTAGGGACAGCCGTTGTGAAATAATTAGGCACCCGTTCAGCCCTTCTTGTCCCTGCCAAAAAAAAGCTTCTTGAATTCATTTAAATTCTTGGTATTGGAACTCTCAAATGGGCATCTTGATACCTGCTCTAGTGTGTATAAGCAGGTTGAAAGCTTGTCCCACTCGGCTGTGCATCTGTCAGGAGCTGCAGCAGATCTCAGTGGTGGTGTTGAGCACGGGTGATTGCTGAGTGCCTCTGTGTGTGAGGATTGAGGGGCATCACAGAGCTGGGTGGCAGGCTGGCCTCAGCCAGGGTGTGCACGTGGCTCAGGGGATGGATGAGTTCCTTTAGCACCTGAGGGTAGGCAGCTCTGAGAGTTTAAGAGCATCTTAGCTACAGAGATACCAGGTGCTATCAAGATCCTCACCTTTTGAGCAATGCTGTGCACAAGTTCTCTGGCCACATGTTGTGAGTATAAGGCATTTATATCCTGTACATATCTGTAAAAAAAAAATCAGGAACGGTGGTGTTTTCTAGCAATGTTGGACAGCTGAATTCACATGTGTTTGAAAACTGTTCTGGGATCACGAATTTATCAAATGTTGTTGACTACAAAATGTAAGGAATTCCATGGAAATGCTTTCAAGGAATTCCTTTTTTTCCCACTATGTTTGCAGCCAAAACATGGTTTTGGAGTAACGCTTTCAAAAGCGTAGAAGTACAGTCCAATAACAGTAAGTGGTTGTAGTGCTGTAGTTTTCTGTGTTAGATTGGACCGTGAGTTTGCGCCTGACCCAGTCTCAGGTGCTGGTAATCCCTTCCTTAACATGTGGTCTTCTGGAATTGTGCGTGTACAGTGCTCGCAGGTTCCTGTTTCAGAGTGAGCTGCATCTGTGGGTTGAGGTTGTTCAGAACACACTCCCAGATTTCTGCTCTGGTGAGATCCACAGGGAACGAGCTGCAGTATGAAGCAGCACTGGAGCACACCTTTGCCGTGAAGTGCGCGGGCGCTGTTTGCTGGAAGGAGCGTGAGGAGTGTGCCCGTGCTCCAGTGCAGAAGGCACACAGCTCTTCCTGTGTGTGGAGGAAAGCAGCAGTGCAGTTCCAGCGCCCGTTTCTCTGCTGCCGTTCCCTGGAAGGCCAGGGCCATCACGATCCGTCTGAACGCTCGGCGTCAGGGGCTGGGTCGGCGTGGCAGGCGGTGCGGGTCCCTCTCTCGCTGTGCTCCTGCCCTCCTGCAGTGCCTCGCCGTGCTGGGGCTTCTCGGGCACAGGGCTCTGCCAGCGCTGCTGGAACGTGCCCTGCCTGCCTTGTGCCTGCAGACTGCTGCGCCACCAGCTCTGAAACACCTCTCAACCCCCCAGATCAAGGTCCCTTATCCCAAGGGATGGACTTCTGTTTGGTTACAAAGGCATTGTAAGTCCCTAAGCAATTGGGGTAATCAATATCCTTCAGCCCTGCAGTTTCTGCAAGCTTGAGACCTGTTTTAGCTTTACAGGACATTGGCTCAGCCTGGTTTTGCAAGGCTGGGTGAGGTGGTGTGTAAATAAACTGACTTGCTGAGGGGAGAAATGCTTGAAAGGAAATACTATAGAGATCTTAAAGTCACAATTGATGTGAGTAATTGGGAAGGGATGGTGTTAGGTAATCCCTTATTATGCAAGAAATGGGGAATACTGGATTTAATCAATTGTCAGCAGCTTTAAAGTTAAAACCAATAGTTTTTTGTGTGGTGCCTGTTTAAACTGTAGACTGATTGCAGTGGGATATTCAGGAGCCTTATTCTTCTTTTGAGGAACAGTTGAATCTGTTGGTAGGCCTTTGAGGGACCAGAACATGCAGTGATTCAGGTGCAGCTTTGGGCTTGGGAATTTACCTTCGACTGGGAGGTGTGGGGTTGGAATGAGAGGAGCGTGGAAGAATGACCCTTTTATGCTGTGTCCGTGTGCTCTTTCCTGAGCTTCTGCTCCTGGCGTCTTGTGGAATCAGCTTATTGCTGGTTAGGGCTGTGTGTTGTTCCTCCCTTTGGTGTGCAGAGGCGGTTCGGTGGCTCTCACCCCAGAAGTCCTGTTGTCACTGCATCCCCCCTTCTGAAACACTCCTGGAGGGTCACACCGAGTCACTGTTCCCTGCCTATGATGATGGAAAGATGGGTCTGAAAGTGTCTGGAGCCTGTTGTAGAGGAACTCCAGTCTGCTTTAGGGAAAGGAAGGCTTTGGCTTTGTTAAGAAAAGCTTATTAAAACCAAGACCTCCATTTTGGTGATTGTCCAAGGCTGCCTTTGGAGTAATTTCTGTTGTCTGAAATAACCAAGATGGAGATAAAAATTGTGAGGGGGAACACCAAAAGCTGTTATCTGGGCCTTTTTACAGAAGATGTGTTGCTGCAGCACTTAACCTTCTGTCCCGAGTGCCTGGAACGTTCCTTCTCAGCATGCTGAAG